CCCCAAAACCCCAAAACCCCAAAACCCCAAAACCCCACATCAGAAAAATCATTATGAAGAAAGTTTTATTATTCAAAATAATCAATAATAGTTAAATAGAATTGATCATTTTCCAACGTAGTTCGTAATTGTCAATGCGATGAAAAAAATTCATTCATTGAAGGTAATAAACTTCAATTTCAGAAATATAGAAGTTTGATTGCCCAAGAAGATAAGTTTTGGCTTAAGTGCTTTGAAATACTATTCCAGAAGGTAGATCATAAGCTTTTCCCAAATTAGAACCGCTGTTTGTATTTGAATTTGAGTTAGGTGCAACATATAGATCATGGCCATCTCCAAATGTGGGGCCATTGTTGATATGATCATAAATGGCGTTAGGACCTTTAGCAGGAACTATGACTTTATTTTCAGCAGAAAATAGGAATGCTTCTTTATCAACAACATAGGTGTTAACTGATCTCCAAGGTAGGGAAGTATATCCTCCAGCAACCTTTCCAGTTGATGTTTTAATGATCGTCAAAGTGGGTCCTTTGAAATCACAACTTGAATGGAAATTTTGAGATGTAAAACCATTCTGGGATGCTCTGTAGCAAAGAGTAGAGATGGAATATTCCTTATCAATGAGGCTTTAAACAAATGACAAGCTGGTACTGCTCAAGATTTTAGAGTCAGCTAAAAGTTAGGGGCTTAGTTATTTCTAAATATAGTCGAAATCATTATATTTGCTCTTCTCTGAAGAGAACATGATTCTTCCGAAAGAATCGAGTACAGATATGGATACCTCATTATAAGCAGCTATTTTTATTCCATACATAGACTTGACGCTATACCATTAAAGTGTAATTGGATCCCACCTAATAAGTTAAAAATTTTCTGACAATTTATCTTTGAGGCAGCTAAGAGCCCAGACGCTACCATCAACACCCGCAGTTATATCTTTCACACATTGCTATCCGTAGCCGATTGTGTAACCCATAGCATCTACGTAGATAGGTACCTCATTTTTTAATACTATTTATGAGAATTAAGCAGCAGAGAGTAGTTTGTACTCGAAGCCATCACCTTGAATCCAAGTATTTAGCAATTATTAAGTATTTGATTAGGTTATGGTTGAGGAGATAGCATATATCTTACCTTGAGCAGTGATCTCATATTCCTTAATATTCTTTAGTATGATCTTTGTCTTTGAATTCTTAGCATACAGTTAGTTCGAAATATCAAGAACATAGAAGTTTCCAGCCATATCGAACTTAATATCTTTAATTTAGAAGTCGTCATCAAATGATTTCCAATCTCCGTTAACAAAATTAAATTTTTTGCCTTATTTTTTGATAATCTTTTTATCATTTACATACTGTTAAATTCCATAAAGTTCCCCACTAGGTGATGCAGCAATATCAATAAAGTGACTTGTTTAACCCCAATCAAAAGCATTTGCATTTTACCAGTCAAACTTATTCCTGGGTTCTTCAACCCAGAGTGACTGATTATCTTCGACACCATCTAATTCATTAACTAAGGAAGTGGTTTAATTCTATGAGCTCAATACATAATGCATTACGAATCCAATAGAGAAAAATACTGCATTATGGAGTAGATATTTCTTAGTAGACTGCTTGTCTGACTAAATCACCGGTTGATGACCGTTGAGTAAGAGAGTCTTATTCATATAGATATCCTTAAAATAT